CATAGATGATAGAGCCTCTGTTCATTCCTCTGGCAATCAAATCGAAGCTGTGATAGAAACAAAGAGGAAGCAGCAAGGAAAAATCACCTGGGGTCTAGATGAACAAGCCAGACAACTAGAGAGAAATCTAAGAAATCACCCTGCAACAGCGGAAGGTAAGATGGGCCAAGGACAAGAGGCTGCCAGGTCCTAGCGAGTGGCTGAGTGGGAAGGAGGCTGTGGCAGCTGCAGACGCCTCTTAAAGGGGCCATGTCCTCAAGCAGACTTTCACAGAGACAAACCTGCTTGCTCTGAGCACTACTGCCAGTTTGGCTGTGCAGAGAGTACAAGGGACTTACAGGGGTACACTGAGTTGTCCGAGTGAGGGCCAAGGCGAGACTCGCTCTGTACAGAAGTGCCGACAGCATTCATTGTTCTTCTGTTGAGCCCTCCCCACTCCCAGTGCACAGACTCAGTGTCGCCATAGCAGAGACTTCATCAAGCTGGATAACAGAGGTCGCTCCTCACAGAGGATTCCCTGAAACTCTGTCTCTCCCAAATCACGGCCCCACTAAGCCACAGCCAGTTGTATCAGGTCAGGTGATTGGCGAGTCAGGTGCTCCTTGCTGAGCAGCGCCTAGTCTCACACTGGTGGCAGCTAGGCTCAGTTTCTGGTGTGGCCTTTTGAGGCAACTATAAGCACAGCATCTGTGGATTGCTTGCTGAATCTTAACAGGTGTTCCTGGAGGGGTAGAGGCTTGGGCTAAGTTTGGTCTGTAACTGAACCCCTCTCAGGACTGTGCCACTGGACACCTACTTCACAAATCCACACTAATAAGACTGAGAGACTTAGGAGCTTTGCTTACTACATAGAAACAGACACAGAAAGGCAGCCAAAATGGGAAGACAAAGAAGAAGAAACCATATGAGAGAACAGAACAGAGATCCAGGAAAAATGGAGTCAAGTAATCTAACAGATTCAGAGTTCAAAACATTGGTTATAAAAATGCTCAATGAACTTAAGAGAAGTGTAGATGAACTCAGTGAGAACTTTAACAAAAAGATAAAAAAACAAAAAATGGAAATGGAAATCATAAAAGGAAACCAGTCAGAAATAAAGAATACATTTATCTGAGATAAAGAGCATATTAGAGAGAATCAACAGAGTGGATGAAAAAGAGGTTTGAACCACTGATATAGAGGATGGGGAAGCCAAGGCAATCAGAATGGCCAGAAAAAAGAAGCCGAGACTATACTAATAATTTAAGAAGCCTACAGGACAAAATTAAATGTAAAAACATCCGTGTAATAGGAGTATCTGAAGGAGATGAGGCCAA